AGAATGGAGAAACAGATACCCCATGTACTCACTATTATATTGGAACAAACTGATGAGTACACAGTATGAACACAGGGAAATAAAACTCAGTGGAAACCAACCGGGGGAGAGGAGAGGCAAAAACCCACTGTTTGGGCGATGGGCACACCTTTAGCTGGAACTTAAGAATTACAAAAGCGATCCATATAAGCTAAAACATTTGTATTCCCTTAATATTTAGGGAAAAAATTAGTTTAGCACATACAATTATATACATTAGGTACTACTTCATAATCAATGGCTATGCTACTGGTAAAACATGGTAATCATGTTTTAGAGAGCACATTATTTTGTTAAAAATAGTTCCAAAAGATTGACATTTATGGAATGACCCTTTGAGAAAAAGACTATTATTATCCCCTTTTGCAGATAAGGAAAATAGGCAGAGAGGCTGAATAGCTGTTCAAGGTCATATAACTAGTAAGTAGAAAGGCTGGAATTCAAACTTTAGCTGCAGGGCCTGCTCTTGAGCTAAAGCCCAGGTTCTTAGTTTCTAGAAAAACATACCAACTCATTAACTAGTAAGTAACACAGATACTCTAAAAGGAAGTTTCAAGAGGAACACCCCCACGTTCTCGACTGAGCACTGTCCTGTTGAATACATTTAAAATAACAAACATAAAACACAAACTAAAGACTGCTTATAAAATTGAGAATGACATGGAATTTGGAGGAATAGCTAAGGTTTTTCTTTTTCTTTTTCTTTTTTTTTTTTTGAGACAGAGTCTCACTATGCCACCTTGGGTAGAGTCCGTGGAGTCACAGTTCACAGCAACCTCAAACTCTTGGGCTTAAGCAATTCTCTTGCCTCGCCTTCCAAGTAGCTGAGACTATAGGCGCCTGCCACAACAATGCCCAGCTATTTTTCTGCTGCAGTTGCCATTGGTGTTTAGCTGGCCCGAGCCGGGTTTGAACCCTCTGGCCTTGGTGTATGTGACTGACGCTTTAACCACTGTGCGACAGGCACCGAGCCAGCTAAGATTTCATTTTTTTTTTTTTTTATGACAGAATAAAGATTCAAGAATATCTCAATAGACTGAAATGATGAGTTAAAAATAACATTACATTTAATGGGTAAATGCTAGCTCTTGAATTTACATTTAGCAACACACACACACACACACACACACATCACACGCAACAACTAACAGCATAGAAAAGAGAATGCTAATTTCAGCCAGTATTTCTTCTTATATGTCCTTGCCTCCATTCGGCCAACCAGGGGGCAAGTCTTACAAACTTTTCCTCTGCAATGCTTGTGATTTACCCCTTCCCCTCCATTTTCCTTGCCTCCCTCCTAATTCAGGCACTTGATGTTTCTCTCATCTCTACCTCCCCTCCCCTGCTTCTCCAGTCTCACCAAAGCACAAGTGTTCCCTACTTACACGGCTTCAGGGGTTCCTCACCACTGGGTTTATTAAAAACATTAAGTTTCCTGAGCTGGACGTCCAAGATCTTCCAGTTTGGCCCCAGTTTTTCTGTCTAATGTCCAAACACTCATCACTTGTTCTTGTTTTGGTTCCGTCCTTCCCCTCAAGCCCATCTGTCTAAATCCACCTCATTCTTCACAAAGCCTAGTTCACATCACTCAGCAAGACTTTCCTGTTCTCCTTAGTGATTTCCTCCTCCCGCAGATAAGCATCTTTACTGATCTTACCATATTTTCTGTCATGAAGTAAAGCTGTGGATAGACACATTCTATTTCCTTGTCCTGTATTGCTCTTTATTCTTTACCAAGAATGTAAACTCACTAAAGGTAGAATCAACTTCCTTATCTGCACACACTCACAGAGGCTTGGTAGAGGCTCAGTAAATACCTGCCCAATGTAATGACACAGGTAATAAGCAGCACTGTGCCCAGCACGAGGACAGTGATCCTTCTGCTAAAATACCCTGAGCACATCTGGAGCACTGAGCACAGTTCCTTTTTAAGATGGATACTGCCAAGCTAATGGGCAATGGAGAAAGATGACGGGGCTGGTTTGCAGACCCAGGATATACCAGAAATGGAGAATGTTTGGACTAGGGGCAAAAATAAAGATTAAACGGACCCTGAAAGCTATATTCTGCAGATGAGAACTTTCATATATAAGGATTAAATTGTTTTAGATGACTCTAGAAAAAAGACTATGTCCAATGCATAGGAGAATATCATTTCAAAATAAGGGAGAGTTTCCAGATGGGACCTGTTCAACAATGACCAGTCTGCCTTGTCGATGCCGTTGCTTCCAGTCACTTGCTGTGTAGAGAGGCAGGATCATAAATGACAAGGAAAAGACCACCTATGACAAAAAGGTGCCAAGCTACAGGAACTTAGACATTTTCTTTCAAAATGACATCAGCAACATTTTATAAATGGCCACCCTTGGGTTTAAGATTCTAGAGTGAACTGTGCCTTATCATGTTCGAATTATGTAACATCTCCATTATAATTATTCATCAACATTGCTACTTGTGACAAATTATTGGGTGCCTATAACCAGATGTATAAGAGAAAGAGGGCATGCTTGTCTTAAAAAAATGAAAGGAGGTTCGGTGACTGTGGCTCAAGTGGCTAAGGCGCCAGCCACATATACCCGAGCTGGTGGGTTCGAATCCACCCAGGCCCACCAAACAACAATGACGGCTGCAACCAAAAATTAACCAGGCGTTGTGGCGGGCGCCTGTGGTCTCAGCTACTTGGGAGGTGGAGGCAGTAGACTCGCTTGAGCCCAGGAGTTAGAGATTGCTGTGAGCTGTGATGCCATAGCACTCTATCGAGGGCGACAGCTTGAGGCCTGTCTCACAAAGAAAAAAAAGAAAAAAAATGGAAGGAAAGAAGGAAAGGAGGGAAGGAAAGAAAGAACATTAAATTTAGTGGGAGTTAAACATAAAAGTAAATTTACAATGTAATGTTAAAATACAATTATTTAAAAATATCTTAATTTTTTAATTTTAAAACTTTAATATTTCAAATGTTATTCAATTCTCATTTGGTAGATGAAACATTAGTACAACTGCTGTGAGTTTGGTTTTGTAAAGCTGAAACAACCACACTATGGCCCAGAAATTCCAATCTTAGGCAGCTAACTCAGAGCAGTGGTTTTTACAGTTGTTATTTGTGTATCCCTTAACATAATTTTGAAAAATTACATTCTTTTTAAGTTGACATTTAATTTGTTTCAGGATGAGTTTGAGTTTAAATGGTTTCAAAAAATATAACTTTTGGCATATCATCAAGTTTGACACTTTAAAACACTAGTTTAAATGTATCTAATGGCCAGACACGGAAAGAAAATATTGTACGATCTCACATGTGGAATCTAAAAAAAGGTTAAACCCACAGAATGAGACAGGAATAGGGGTTACTAGGAGCTGCAGGTGGTTGGAGCAGGGTGGGGAGGCATTGTTCAAAGAATATAAAGTTTCAGTTGTATTTTTTCTCTTTGAATTATTTTTTCTTCACTGAATTTTATCTTAATGAAATATACTTCTACGCTTGAAGCTATTTTATTTATTATTGTATTGTAGTTTATTTTATAAAAAATTACTTGTATGAATTAACATCCAAGAAATTTAAATTTTATCATAAAAATTTCATAAAGTTCAACTTTTTGAATTTGAATTATCAGTATAATTATTTAGTACACAATTATTTTAACATTATGAATGATATGTATCAGTTTAACCTAGGCAGAGTATAATTTTGGATAAATAATTGTTGAACAAAAAAGCAGCACACCTCAGTGAGGTGGTTGGGTTTCTTTTTTTTAATTGGTCCGTGGGACTCAGGATAATTACCACTTATTGCTAGAATGAGGCAGGTTGAGCTTTAATCTGTGTTGCATTCCTCTGCCAGATTGATCTTCCCTAAACATGGCTCCTGACTTGTTTATAATAATTTCTTATGTACCCCTCAATATCAAAATGCCCAAGTCTCCGTTTCGAAGACCCCTAGTTGGTTGGTCTTACTCTTTCTGTTCAATATTCTCTCCTACAACCTATTAGGGGCTCTGCCTCAGTCAAATCTCTTCTCCTCCTCTCCTCCAAATATTAGGCCACTATCTTAGTGCCTTCTCTGCGCCCCTACCATGCACTTATTCTGTCTCTATAAATTTCATCTCACTTTTGGCATAATTTGTATCTCACTTTTTGCTAAATTATTCCTGATGCAACCATCCTTTCTCTCTCGTGTTTTATTCCCTCTGCCCTTATGATCTGTATCATGTGAGTAGCACCTAATTATATACTGTGCTTTACCTATCTACCCTTAATTGTACATCACATATAATTTAGCATTTTACTATCCATTCTTTTCTTCTCTAATTGTTTCATGTCTTGTCAACCGGACCATAAATTATGCCTATTATTAGCTTTCTATGAGAAGTGCTATGATCTTTTCCACAAGCCCGGAGAGATTTTTGGACTCAAAGAAATCAGAGGTATAAGTAATGATTTTCAAGTTGACAACAATGGTTTTTCCTTCTCACTGATGTTAAAAACAGACATAACTGTCCCTTTGTGACAAGAGGAAATCTGAGATCAAACATGAGGCGGAACATATTGGTAAGAATTACAGAGAAAAAAAAAAAAGAATTACAAAGAAATACTATAGGTTGTACTCTAAGGATCTTTGCAACCACAAGATGAACTAATCCAGATCTGGAATTAATCTTTGAGGTGGACAAATCTTATGATCCTAGACTATTGTGAAAATAAAGGCTGGCCCTCATCTGAGCTACCCAACGGCCATCCTCAGTGGCTCCATCCCTTCATCCCTCTCATCACCTCTGCTGGTCTGACCACACAGGAGACTAAGAGATCACACCTGGGGTGCAGGTTCTCATCAGGCCCCTTGACAAACTCAGGGAAGATCCTTTTCTACAATGGTACAGTTAGGCTATGAAGGCAATTTCACCAGTCAGAACGACTGCTGGGTTCTCCAGGGACTGAGTTTGCTCAGCGCCCGGCAGAGCCCCCACCTGTAGGCCGCGGCGCAGGTGTCCTTGTACTCCTCCAGCTTCACGCACACCATGCTGAGGAACTGGTCCGAGTACGCGCTCAGGTCTCGCATCAGGTTCAGGAGGTCTTGCGCTGTCTTCTCCACGATGACCGTACTCTGCAAAGGAACCCCAGAGGGCAGACGTGAGATTCTGTACCCAAGCAACGTGCAGGACAAGGAAGGACACCTGGAATCATGCAGTAATTTAAGGCACTTGGGCTTTCCCAGAAAGACGTGACATTTAAAAATGTGGACTAAAAACAAAACAGTAAGTATAATACACAGCGTCGGTCTTCCAAAGACCTGAGAATGTTTTCTCTGGAAGGACCAGAGCTAGGGATTTTCCAATTGATTTCACAGAACTCTGGGCTAGCACAATGTATTTCTGTGCCTTTTAAGAAAGAAAATGCATATTCAGTGGGAGCCTGATTTATCACCTCTGGGGCTCTTTGAGATTAAGAGCCGGTGACAGGCAGCACAAAAGAAAAAGCCTTCCTTGATTTACTTTAAAAGTTTCAAAACCATCAATCTGTTAAGGACAACAACTAACATTTGTATTGTGTTTTACAGCCTGTAGGATGTTTTCACATACAGGGCAGACGTCATCTCACTTGAGGCTCACATAATAATCATGATAATCATGAACATTTCTAGACATCTTTCAAGGGCAAGGTACAGAGCTAAGCACGCTACATACTATATTTCATCTTCCTAACACCCCTACCTGTCAGGCGGACCCGATCATCTTCCCCAGTTTAAGACAACAAAACAGGTTTAGGGGAAAAAAAGGAAACCAAGCAAGGGCCCAGCTTTGCTCCTCTCACTACACCATCCTGCCTCAGAGCTACGCCAGGGTTCTCTGGCCCGGCAGCCCAGCTGTTTTCTCATGAGATCACAGTAACGCGCACTGTTGACTCCACTGTAAAAGCAGGGCCCAATACACTCAGACGTATTTTACAACCAAATTAAAGAAACATACAAAGGGAAGGAGGGTAAGCCCTTCCTTAAGACTAGAGACTGATAGTGCCGAGCAGCAAGTCAGCATTATGCCCCCAAAGAGGCATGTTCAGTAAATTCCAAATCTTTGATTAAGAAAAGTCTGAGTTGTTTAAACCATTAGTTCATGCCTCTTTCAAAAGCAGCAAGCGGGCTTACACTGGAGTAAATATTAATTACTCAGATGCTTAGCAGCTTGGAAGTTTTGGTCAATAACTCGTTTGTTGCATTTGTATTTATATAAAATTACATAGGCTGCGGTCGGGGTAGCCATAAAAGGAAAACAGCAAAGAAATAGTTCTCCAGTCTGACTGTAAACAATGAAGGGATCAAAGGCATTTTATTATGCTTTACACAGATTATGAGCTATAGGGTTTGGGCTGTTTTTATTTTAATAAAAAGAATGGATAAAAGCATTTAGCTTTTTCTCAACACAATGGAGGATTAGCTTGAATTACACTGCGTGCTTATTCAAGATGATCTGGTCGTGGAAGTTTCTCATCTCTCCCCTTCCCTTCCTCTCCTCTCCCTCATTCCCAGTTATCACAAGGTGAAAAGGAAAGAGCAGAGATATTCTGTGAGGCAAGCTCATAGGAAGCCAAATTACAATCTCTACAGAATCCCCACAAGTTCAACTTCCTTTTCTGTATTGATTTTAAGATTAAAGCACTGCAGCTTCACCCTGATCCATAATCCCATTCCTCTGTTATTTGCCTGTGAGTGACAGGAATTGATTCTGCCATGCTAAGAGGAATTTAAAATCCTCATCCTGATTCTGAACACAGGATATCCTACAGCATGTGGACAGCAATTAATAAAGGAGAGAGGAGCTCAGCCATCCCAACAACGCTAGTTTAAAAATCTGAAACAGTACAGGGAAGATGGGCACTGGGAAATCAATCAGACTACTGGGAGAAAGGGCCCGGGTCTATCCCCAATTACACTGTTGACGACCATCTCTGGGGTAGGTGTGGGCAGCCCCTTCCATTTTCGTGACTCCATTTAGTCCTCTAATAACCGAGGGCAATTTGATGGCCCCTTTACTCTATTGGCCCTCGTGACTCACGTATTCAATTTGTGCGCTGGTACTTTTACATTGGGGGAATACTTTGGAACTTTCCTCAAAGGAAAGTGGCCGCTCTTCCTGAATGTACTGTCAACTTCTCAAGAGGGGGAAGCATTCCTGGCTTTTTGTCCATCTCCCATTATTCCCTTTCCTCACTTGTTTATAATGTCTCAGGATCTTCAGGGCAATACTACTAATGAAAGAATCAAGACCGATGATGTTAATAGGCAGAAGCAAATCTCTGGATGCCATCTATGTGAGGGATGTTAAACACGGTTATCACTGCATCGTGAAATTTCCTTGGCTGGGTTAGGTTTGGTCTGTATTGATGACACTGCTCATTTGGAAGGAAAGGGGTCACTGCAAACACCTCTCTGTGTCCACTGGAGGTCAAGGTTTGGGGGATGGACAGGAAGGACCAGCAGGGAATGATTGGGATGCCATGGGTTAATTCTAATGGTCGTGCTTGACACAGACTCTACATGAGGCTATCTGACTACACACAATTTTCCAGCTATTTGGTTCATTTGCCTTGTCATGGTAGCGCGCTGGACAATCAATCACTATATTCTCTTCAAGAAAAAGGACACTGTAGTTTGCCAAATGATGGGCATTTTTACAGGAGAAAAAAGTTGCCATTTTTAAAGAATTTATGATAATTTCCCAATCAGTGGCTCCGACAAATAAATGTTGAAAATAGTGACTTTCTAATAAGGTCAATCTTGTTTTTATTTATTTGAACTCTTTAGCAACACAAATGATTTATTGACTTATTAATTTTGGGGCTTGCCAATGTTGAATATAATAACTTCATGAGAGGCAAAACCCTTGTTTTATTCAGGATTTCTATTAAACAACTCACAAATGATTGATGCTCGTTGAGAAACAATTCAATTCAGTTTTCTTGCAACTTACTACCAGGTAATACAGTCTGAGCATGACATGAAAAATAAGTAAAGGGGGAAAAAAAATCCCAGGACAAGCTGATAAAATTAAAAAAAAAAAAGCCACAGTTATGAAAAATCAATCATTAAAGTTTACTACAGGATACTAGTAATCTAAAGTAAAAAGTGGGTGTATACAAACCAATTATTTGGCTCTGCACTTTGAAAAGTTTAATAAGTGAGTAAATAAAGGCGACTGGACATTTGAGATGTAGTCAATTGTTTGCTAAAATGGGGCTCTGTACAATGAGATAGAAAATTCACTCTGAGTTCATATAATCTAGAGAATGTGAAGTTTTAAAGAAAACTAAAATTTAAGAGTCATCATAACTCTTAAAAAGCCAATGTAGTGTTCAGTCTTTCCCTAACTATTGGAGTAAAGAAAACAATTTTCATAGCCCATTTCCTCACATCTACTGGAATAATGTTTCCAGAATATGCTTTGGGAATGACTCTCCCCAGCTGTCTGGCTTTACTGATGAGGACTATGAGCCCAGTGACACCAGATAAGTACTGGTAGGAACAGGGTGAGAAGCAGGTCTCCTCTTGGTCCATGCCCTTTTCTAAACACCAGGTCTGCCTCTCTGACCTTCAGTCCAGCTCCACTGACCTGGCCACCCCATGCCCCAACCACACTAAATCACTAGTGGTTTCTTGCCTGCACCAGACTCATTCCCGCCTCTGTGCTGGAGTGCTCTTCCTGGCTCACGCCTCTTGTCCTTCACAGTCAGCTCCAAGGTTACCTGCTCTGATTTAAATGCCCTGCCTTCTTTACCGGTTGTCACATGTAACAGTTCTTCTTTTTCGTTACTCTGCAGTATTCTACTGTAAGAATATACCCCAATTTATGTTGATGAACCTGAAAAAATTTTTTTTCTGGCTGTTACAAATATAACTGTTAGGAGCAGTTATGCTCACGTCTTTTGATGGGCATGAGCACCCCTTTCTGAGGGAGAGAGAACTTTCTAAAAGAAGCTCACTAGGCTGGCAGGGTGGCGGTGTGCAGCAGATACACTGGTTAAATAATTTGGGGCCAGTTTCTAAATGGGATGTGGTAATCACTGGCTCACTTGGCTGTATTCTCCACTAGACTGTAAATTTCATTGTGAGCATAAACTGTACCTTCATTTCTCTAACCTCTAGTAAGGTAGCTGGCATACTGCAGGTACACATTCAATAGTTATTCAATGGATTAATGCACATACATGACACATTCAGATTTGAGTGAAAAGACAGATTTAGAATGTAATTGTAATGTGCTGTGGTGGGTCAAAGCCTGATTTGGTAAGGTGAAGTCAGACCACAGCCTCTAAATCCCTCCATCACTGTTTCTTAATCCCCACATTCTAAGGGCTGAATGTTTATTGTGGTTAAAGTAGGGTGACCAGATTTTAACATTTGTAAAGTGGGACAACATGGCTGGGGGGTGGGGTGGGGGGCAGGGGATGGGGCAGGGCAGGGCCTGACAACAATGCAAACTTTGATAAGCAGTTCTCGATAATCACTTCTCAACAATTATTTGTTATTATTACAGTTTAACATTATAAAATTAACAAAAATAATATAAAACTCATATTCTGGCAGAATAGCCACATGGCAGCTGAAAATCATATATTCCCTTCCTGTTCTCCCGCCCGTTCGTGCATTCTTTCCAAAAACTGGGATTTTTTAAAAACACCCTGGGACGCGGGACAAATTGTTCAAAAGCGGAACGTCTGGTCACCCTAGGTTAAAGGTTTTATTTTAGATATTTTGACAAAAATACTCCTAATTTAGTTTGATCGTGTTATTTTCTATAGTCACAATCTACATACACATAAATAAAGGTGCTAATTTTAAAGTTTTACCATGTCTAAGTAAATTTTCAATTAAGAAAAATGAAACCAACTTTAGTTTGGAGAATGCAAACTCTGTATGTGTTCTGTTTTAGCTCCTGAGAAGGGATGGTTCAGAGATGCTGCAACGAATCTAAGCTTCTGGGAAACTGCTTTAGGAAGAACTGGAAAGAAAAATGGTCAGAGAAATGTATCCATCATTTCAGACACATTCCTCCATCACCATGACACACAGAGACACAAGCAGCTGTGAAACGAGGGGGCTTCACGAGTGTT